GTGTTGTTCTCTACAATGTAAGCCTCATATGAGCTCCTCTCAAAGACAGGCGCGTTGTCATTCACGTCAGAGATCTGTAAGGTGAGAGTGACGCTGCTGGAGAGGGAGGGCACTCCCTCATCAGAGCAGGTCACTGTGATATTATACTCTGATGCTGTCTCTCGGTCTAATTCACTGTCTGTCACCAAACTATAGAAATTATTCGTTGACGTTTGTAAAATGAACGGTACATTTTCGCCAATAAAACATTGCACACGTCCATTGTCTCTTGAATCTAGATCCACAGTATTTATCATTGTAACGACTGTATTAGGTTTTGCATCCTCTGAAATCACAGTTGATTTCGACATTATGTTAATTTCAGGTTTGTTGTCATTTACATCTTGTATATCGACGATTAATTTGCACGAATCTGTGAGTCCTCCCTCGTCACTAGCGAGTAAATTAATTTGAAATTGTTTTGATTTTTCGAAGTCAATATCGCCAATCGATGAAATTTCACCGTTTTCCTCATTAATCTCAAATACTTTCCTGACATTGTCTAATGTATTTGTGATAGAATATGTTATTTTAGCATTAGAGCCTTGATCTGCATCTGTAGCTGTAACAGTGGCTACAACTGTTCCTTTAGGTGAATTCTCAGTAACTGTAGCTTTGTATGTGGACTGTGTAAAAACAGGGGCGTTATCATTTGCGTCTAAAACTGTAATAACGATCATCATTGTCCCTGACATCTGCGGCTCTCCTCCATCTACAGCCGTTAACACGAGAGATATCTGTTCCTGCTTCTCTCTGTCTAAAGGTTTCTGTAGAACCATCTCAACATTTTTATTTCCATCAGCGTGACTATGAATTTTAAGAGCAAAATTATCTGTTGGTTTTAAATCGTACCTTTTGAGATCGTTAATCCCTACATCAAGATCCACAGCCCTTTCGAGTACAAATTTTGCCCCCGTGATCGCTGACTCGCTTATTTTAAATCTCATTTCATTTTTTTCAAATGTTGGTTCATTATCATTGATATCTGTGATCTGGACTGTTACACTGTAAAATTCCATAGGATTCTCTAAAATAATCTGAAAATGTAACGCACAAAGGGCGGTCTCTGTGCACAGCGCCTCTCTGTCGATTCTCTCTTTGACGAGGAGGACTCCTCTTTCTCTGTTCAGCTCGATGTACACGTCGCTGTTTCTCGTATAGATCTTGGCTTTACCCGATACCAAGCGTTTTATTTCTAGTCCTAAATCTTGAGCTATATTTCCGACGAGAGATCCCTTCGCCATTTCCTCTGGAATAGAGTAGCTGACCTGCCCGACCACCGAGTCGAGGAAAAGGAGAGAGATAAAGAACAGTACTTGCCGATTCATTGTTAAAGCCGTCTTTTTTTCCTGTGACGCTCCACAGACTGCTTACATCCCACAAAAAAGACAAATCTTAGATTCCACTCTCAAATCCCTAATTACAAGATGAAGTCACTGGAAGTGATTCTCTTGCAAGTCCAAATCTCTATTTTTTTCAAATGATCCACAGCCCTGATTGTTCGTTCGTCGTCCGTCGCGTTCTCTCTGTGTTATGTCGTGGTTACATGGGAGGTTCTGCAACAATCTTGCGCTCAGTCATCAACACTCTGGTCAACAGCGGCCCTCAGAGTTCAAACTATAACACTGCAAAATACTGTATCAACTGAGATTAAAGTCTATGGTCACTAACTATAAACCCCCTGTACATTTATTTTCAAAAGACCAACTATATTTTAATTTCCAAAGGTTTTCTCGCAGACATGACATGTATCAATTGGAAAATATAACTACATTTAACGATATATCTAAGATAATAGAAACAAAGTAAGAGATGATGTGTTTATCTGACGTCACAGCAAAATGTACCTGAAGGACTGGAAGGGAAGAAAGAGCTCAGGAAAAGAGTTTTCCATAAGTAATGTCAATTTGGAACAGATGATTAGAAGAAAAAATGAATATACTGATAATCAAACTGAGGACATATATAAAATGTCTGTTGGTATTACTACCCACAATGCCACTGCCCGCTGTTCTGAAGTGAGTAAAGCGAATAGGACCAATGCAGCAGCAATACACAGAGTGCTGTATATTCCATTATATTAAAATATAAAATCATTCCCATGAAAAACAAGATTTGGTGTGGTCATATGTTGCTTCAATATAAATAAGAAAAGTTGTGTTTGATATTGAATCAATATTAAAGTTTTCTAACCTCTAGAGGAGAGTCTGGTTCATCCAGGATGCTCTTTTCATTCTGTATCCGCTGCATCGTCCCTGTAGAACTGGGGTCCATGATCAGCACGTTCTGACTACCAGCTCTGCCGAACTTACAGTCACTCTTTCTGGAG